TTCTCGTTGATGGAAGGCACTTGTAGGGAATGAACGGTGTCAAGACGGACTCGAGGGCGTTCAGTCGGAAAGAAGCGGAGAGTCGGTCGCCGAGAGTCGGACTGGTGCTGGATCTCTGGTGGTGGTTCTGGAATGGGCCAGATGACTGATCGGCAACTGGAAGTCTCGATAGTGGTTGTAGGGCTTGGCTCGGCCGGGCTGATGGGTGGCGCGTTGATGTGTGACGGGCTCAGGTGCGTCGGGCGTTGAGGAGGGATGATGTCTGGTGTGGTTGGCGTAGTTGGTGTTGTACCATATGTCTTTGCTGTGATGCGCTCATCGCCGGTATCCAGATAGATTGGAATGTCTGGAAAAGCAGGCGAGCGCATAGGAGTGCGAGGAGAACGAGACATGTTGGGATAGTAACCTGATGTGGATATCGGGTAAGGCATTAAAAGAATACGTGAATACGAATTAGGGTACGAAGATAGTGGAGAGCGATGGAAAGATGTTGCTTCGTACAAGATAGTAAAGCAGTGCCAGACTGGAGAGAAGCAGTAGACTGATACCAGGTACTTACCATCGGTGCCCATCACCATACTATAACAACATCGAGCTGCAGTATAAGCCTCCACAAGCCATTTCCATGATTGGAGCCTGCTCGAAACATCAAACAGCACTGTTACTGCGGCGTACATGCAAACTATGCCTTCGTTCTGGAAACCGGTGCATTACCGAGCAAACGCACCATTCACGACACGAGCTAGCCGCAAGGACCAGACCCAACCTCCAGAAAAGCATGCCAAGAAAGGCGGCTGAAGGCCGTTTCCACGACACCTACGTGCGGCGCGGGCGTCGGGAGCTGTCAAGCCGGGTCACCGCTGTGGGTGTAGCCGTACAGAGCATGTGTATAACCGCTGGGATGGCCGCATGGCTAGGCTAGCGTATTCTCGTTGCCGCTGTGGTATTAAAACATATGCAGCTAGGCGTATTCTTAGCTTTTGGCCCCTCCATGAGGTCACGTTTCGATGACGATGCATCAATGAGGCACAGTCGTATAAGCGCTTCGAGCCTCATCGGACGCTGCAGCCAATGTAAGGAGCGCGGGTTTGGGGAAACATGTTGGTTTTGCTCGGGGAGCGAATGGCGATGCCGCTTTCTAGCCTCGGGGTATCGCGTGAACTCGCGCGACGTGGGTGGTGGTGGAGGTGGTGGGAACGACGGCCTCGGGATGTTTCGACGAATTTTTGGGGGTTCAGATAGCGGGGTCGCGCTATCGTTAAGCGCGGGGCCGATAACCCCACTTATTAATAGCCACCTATCGGCGCCGCGGAATACTTAGCCATGCGTCTATTTTTCGAATATTCCACGTCGCGTCTATCGTGCATTTGGCATCTCGGTGCAAAGCAAACAACGCATGCATGCATGAAGTAAGCTTCACGTGACGGCTTCTCCCAGGGCCAAGCAGGAGTTGACATCTGCCATCCTCTGGAGTAGCCGAAGCACGTCAGGTGTGTTATGACGGACCACCGTCTGACACCTCTTAGCTAGCCCTACCTCCCGAGGTCTACATCCAACACTTCGCTTACTGACTTGATACTACGGTGGCTTGAGGCTGAACATGTCATTCGGTGTTCTCTAGTACTGACACGTGTACTAACACCGGCGTACGCTAAATCCAGTCTGCCGGGTCGCGGCTATCAAGGCTGCATTGCGATCGTTGCGTACCCTCACTGGCCAAGCTTATGCCCATCTGTTGTTGTTTCAAAGCCGCCAAATTCCCATTCGTTCGGAAGATACCCCACAGGTCCCGATCAGTCGGAGATCTGTTTTCTGTAGCCGCTGTCGCTTGATCGGTGTCATGGTCGCATAGAAGAGCGGACCATTGGTGCGTTGCGTCGTCGAAACAAACTTATGATGGAAGTGGAGATCCGCGCAATTTCCAGCCTCTTCAGGCGTTGCATGCAAGGTATGGTTTGATATATTGCTGCGCCGCATGCTACATCGGAACGTTGAACGGGCAGAAGGGTAACATTGCAAAGGTGTTGAGCTGATGTCAGCCATGGCTTCATTAATATTGCACGACCCCGAAATGTTCATTGCGAGCCACAACGAGCGATGCAAAATCTTACACGGGGAAAGGGAGGACTAGTTCATGATTCATTACCGGGACGACCGCGAGCAACACTGACTTGTGCTGAACAGCCACAAATTGTGCATCTCCATCTCCACTATTTTCGTCCCCAACCGTTTCATACCCGCTCGAAGGAATGCGGCTCACTTCCAAGCGGCCTCAAAACCCGCCTTGTGAGCGCCAAATGCAACGTCATTTGCAAGATCCATCGACCTCAGTCCCAGCCACCACTTTACTTGCGGCTTAGGCCTTCTTGTCTGGCGCTTCATGAAGCTCGATGGCGTTGCTGTCCTGACCCATGACCTTGGCGGTGGTTGCAGCGAGCGCATCGGCATCGTCCTTCTCACTTTCAAACAAGAATGTAAGCTCTTCCAATGTCTTTCCGTACGTTTCTGGGAACAGGAAGTAGATGAACACAATCTCGCAACACAGCAAAGCGATGTAGACGAAGAGGAACTTCCAGTCAAGGTCTTCCAGTCCAATAGGATTGGTGAATGATCCAAGCATGACGGAGCAACGGTTGAAGAGTTGAAACCATGAGAGACCCTTGGTTCGGACGTAGTAGGGGAAGATTTCGACCATGTAGACATATGTGAGGGCGTTGTAAGCGATGTTGTACGCAGGCTTGTATAGGAAGATCATGACCAGAACCGCATAGCCTGTCTCTTTAGATCCAGTCTGACGATTACGAGCCTGAGCAATGGTCCAAGCGGTATACACGCACAATAAGCAACTCGCACACAGCAGATACATCCTCCGACGTGGGTATCGCGGTGTGACAGTTGCCATGACAAGCGCCATGAGGAAGCCCCATGCTTCTGAGCCGACGTTGTAGCGCACCTGGGTGTGACTATCTTCAATGCCGATCTTTTCCAGGATAGGCACAAGGTATTGGCTGATGAGGTTGTTGCCGCTGTACTGGACGAAGATGCCAAGGCCGGCGGCGACAAGCGCACGGTGTCGCATGCCTTTGGATTGGAAGAGCTCGGCCCAGCCACGTTGTCGCGATTCGTTCTCCAGCTCCAGAGCTTTCCTGATCTCAGCAATCTCAAGGTGCGGTAGCTCGGCCGAAGCATCGCCCTCCGCATGGTACTTGATCAATATCTCAAGAGCTTCTTCGCTGCGATCCTTTGAGACAAGCCATCGAGGACTCTCTGGAACCGTGAAAGCGAAGATGATCTGAATGACAGAAGGGCCTGCTTGAAGGATGGATGGGAGGCGCCAAGACCAGTCGCTCGGGATCAGCAGCGTACGCACGACTATACATCGGGGCCGAGATTAGTCTGCATTCATCTACCTTTCGTGGAGGAAAATTGCTCACCTATACCCGCTCCGAGAACTGAGCCTACTCCGAAGAATGCGTTGAAGAGACTACCTAAGAACTGTCGCTCTTTGGGATGGCCTAGTTCGCCGAGAAGAGCGGCTCCGGAGATAATTGCATAGACAATACCATGGCCAAGGAAAATTCGACTGAAGATAAACATGGCGACTACATGTATGTCAGTTGTAAGGATCTCTGAATGCAATAAGCATACTGAAGGTACTCACGGTTCTGCGACAAGCCCTGCATTACTGCTCCGATGATCATAATCGTGGACCCCAAGACGATACTCTTCCGCCTTCCAAGATGATCAGACACGATGGAAACGAACGGAATACTCGATATAGCGCCGAGGTTGTAGCAGGCGACAAGCAATCCGAGTTGGCCTCCTTTGGGATGATTGAAGTATTCTTGCCAGTAGTGGAGAGCTTGCACTGATGACGTATACTGGATCAGTGTTTCATCTCAAGCAGCGCTGTAGTAAAAACGACTTACTTCCATTCATCATCGAGCTATCAAATCCAGAAGTAGACTCAATGAAAAAGCAGAAAGGTACCAGCAATAGGTAGAGACGTCGGAGGTTTGGCTTGTTCCACCATCGTACCGTATCGGCGGCGACGAGGCGCTCGATGATACCGTCGCCAGGGCCTGCAACTGCTGGTGCCATGATTTTTCCGGTTGAGATAGGTACTCAGTGTAGCGTCAGGTTGGCATATCCTGAACTTACATACTCGAAGCCAAGCACTTCACCGGTTCAAGAAACCGTCGAACCGACTAAGGGATGCTGGATCTGCCTCGCTTTCGTCTTGGCTTTGCGGGGTTTGTGCCCGGTGGTACGGTTGACGCATCCTTCATGGTGAAGCATGACCGTTGATCAAAGGAAATACGAATGCCTGTCTTGCGACGATACAAACACCACCAAGTCTCATTGCTCCATACCTGGAAATATGAGGCTAATTCTCTCTGCCGTGCGGATAAATGCCGTGCTATGCTAGTCTGCCTTACTCAACACCGTCAGCTTCAATATCAAAATCGTGTACTCAGGTCCGTGAATGTGCATGCAGGGCTGGACTCAAATGACCCGATGCCCGACATGGACCTCAGCACTAGCCATGTATGGCGCGGTCCGTGGTGCAACAGGTAAGGTTGAATGCGGGGGAAAATCTCCTGCCCCTCCACAAGTTCTTTCGCACAGCATCGCCAACTTCTTGACTGATCTGGGCGACGAAGTGCGAAAGAGGCTGGATCGGCGGGCCAAAAACCCGGGCATTCTTCAGGCGGAAGAGATTGTGCGGTAGTGCCGCAACGGCAATCGATTCGCAGGCGGGTTGTAGCAGGAGCTTGCACCAATCCACGATGCGCATTCTGCTCGGCAGCATTGCTCTTCGTAATGTATTTCGTTTCAAGCTCTGAAGTAGATGCTGTCGCGTCGGAGAGATGACGTGAAGGGCTTGACGCGCCTGCCATTAGGGGCCGGCTTCCCTCGTGGCGCACAGATCACCAAGCCACACCTTCCGAATAGCTCCAGCCTCCTCAAACTCCAACACTTTCCATCGTCATCCCACTATGACTGAAGCGGTGCGCGAATTCGTCCAGCACTGTGGTAAATACACTGACATTGCGATCTGGAGGTTCAGTTGAATGCCATTGCATGCGAGAATTGCAGATCGAAGAAGTGCAAGTGCGATCGGAAGCTGTGGGTAACCCGCATGCCAGCTGCAGAACTTCATCTAACCAACACAGCCCATGCTGTTCTCAATGCCAGACATCATCGCTGCCATGCCACTATCAAGAGGGTGGTAAGCGAGGTCTTCCAGCCGCATACATCACTGCCCTTGAGAAGCGGCTGGCAGACACCGAGGCTGCACTCTCCGCAACACTCACTGTCGTCCAAAACCAAGACTTAATATTGTTGAACGACGTTAGGCTTCCAGATCCATCATTGCACGCGCCAAAGCGACAAGGCTCAAAAGCAGAAAAGCTTGAAGAATGGAAGCGCCTGCCTTTGCAGACGACCGAGCAGTTGACAGCTTGGCTACAAGCACAGTGTCGCGAGACGGCAGCCCCGGAAGTATTTCCGCCGAGACACAGCAATATCGTCCCTGATAACGACGGAGCGCGCAAGACATCCAGGACAGCCGAAGGTCGACCGAATAGTGGTGCGCACGCTTCTCGCCAGATACCCGGCGATACATCCCCACCGGTGTCAGTCCTGCAGCAACTGGAAGACTGCGAAATGCCTATAGCACCGAACATGCAGCGAGCTCCCACTGATCCAGCAAGATGGCACGAAAACTACTTCTAGAACTCGAGAGGAGTGTCTGGCAGATGCTGCTGCGATGCCAGTAAGACTGAGTCAGGTAGGCACCTCGTTCTCAGTCACACGAGTCAACCACCAAAGATGCCGATTGCCGGCAGGCGCAGGACCAGTTTACGCTCGGAAGGCGATGCTGGCCATTCATCACGCTGTGGTCGGCACTGGACGTATGACACGATCGAAAGTTTGGAAAATATTGCTACGGTAATACATTCCAGACTTTAGAATACACTAGGAAACGCTCACGAGACACGCAGGCTCTTCTCGTCGCACGATTGATCTTCTACTCGGCTTTAAGAACGCTATCAAGTACTCCGCATCTCTTCACCCAACTTCTCGCACGCTTGCCGTAGATGTACATTGGAATCGTGCAAAGCGTGACAGCGACAGTGGTTCCACCAATGACATAAAACGCGTCCCTCACACCCTGTACCGCGATCCAGTCATTGGCGTAGAACGTCAGGCCGAAGGCGAAAAGGTTCTTGACAAAGTTCATGATGGCAAAGGCTTCAGCGGCCTGCTCGCGATGGCAGTCGGAGACGTAGGTTACGACGGCGGTAGTTCCCAGCTGAACACCCAGGTTGATCAGACCCATGCAGACGATGACCGGGATGGGCCACGGGTCGCGATTGTGGAGTGATTGGCCCCAAGCAAAGAAGCCGGTTGCGGTAAAGATCAGGTAGGTTATCATTACAGGGAGACGGAACTCGGGTTCTAAAATATTGTCAGTTGCTTGTAATCACAGCTTGGGTCGTCTGCACTCACCGAAAGTACCCTTGTTGCGTGTCGACATCCATTTCGCCACACCATCGATGATCGGACCGGCTACCAGCGTGGCCAACAACGACGCCACGAACGAGGACAGGTTCGTTGCGCCAACCGCGCTCACGGAGAAACTGTATGGTGGCGCGGAAAAGATCTGCGACAACGTGATGGAGATCAAGACAAGCCAGGATACGCAGATGGTGAAGAGCAAAGTCGCCCACATGACTACCGGGCTCATGATCACCACAAAGGGGCGTAGAAATGTGCGCCAGAAGGAGACATGGTCCCAGTAACCAGACCATGGCATGAGGGTCTTGACGTAAGGGTATGGGGCTTCGGAAGAGACGGACGACTGGACCGCATAGTCTTCGACGCGCTCGGCGGACTTCTCCTTCTCAACCGCGTCACTTTCCACATTCTTGGAGCTCGTGTCGATGTTGATGACGTCGTGGCGGTGGTAGGCGGACTCGGGCATGAAGAAGATGATGAGGATGAGCATGATGACAAACGCACCGCCCATGGCGTGCAATGCGATGCGGTGAGAGCCGTATTGGATGACGGATCCAGCGATTGGACTCGCTAGGTTGATACCACCGAGGACACCAAGGTTGAAGATGGCCATTCGGAATCCGCGCTCATGAACGTGCCAGATGTCTCCGACGGATGCTGGGATGAGTGCTTCGAACGGTGCCATGCAAAGACCTTGGACCGCTCGGGCTGCCGCCAGAGAAGGAAAGCTGGTAGCTTCCGCAGCCCAGAAACAGGACACCGCCAGGCCAACCGTGGTTGCGAGGTAGATTGGTCGTCGTCCGATTTTGACGGCTAGGGTGTTGCAAATCAGACTACCCACTGCGATGGCGACGATGCAGGATCCATTGCAACCCAGAGTGAACCTTTGTAATGGGACGTTGAATTGTTCCGCCAGGGGCACGAAAGCTGGTGTGAGCAACGGACCGACAGCTACAAAACATGCGATTAGCTCAGTATGTGGTATCTTGATGGCGCGAGTCTACCTCCTACAGCGCCGCATCCATATGCGATAACGACGGTGAACATCTCCTTCTTCCATCTTGGCCAATTGTAGGGGTCGTTCGGCGAATCAGAAGGCTGCGGCACCAGCACAATCTGCCCAGTAGGATCATGCTTCAGCAGCCCGCGATCAACATCGTTCGTGATCTCGAGATCAATGCGACCAAGCTCGCTTAACGGAGCTGTCCCAGGGACATGTTCGAGCTTGTAGTCTTGGAGTATACCCAGAGGCATGGTAACTCTATGTCCGCGGTGTGATTGGAATGGTAGCGCAAGGGAGCACACGTGGAAGGATAAACGATATGCAAAGAAGCAATCTAGATCGCACAGCAGATGGATGGAAGAAGCGTGGAAGCAATCCTAAATTGTCGAAGATGCGACGGACACTATAATGTGGTGGTGGTGGGGGATGCCTTAATCCCACGGCAGTTGAGCTTGGGCGACTGCATACAGGGAATGATGATTCGGTGGTGTGCGGGGAAGGATGGGTAGGATGCGGGGGCTAGCTCCGGGTTGGTCGCTCAGGTATCCACTGCTTCATGTTGCAGACGGCTAGTGATGCCAGCATGCCTCGGGTTAATGCGACCGATGGAGATGCTGTCAATCGTCGCCTCTTTTGGGTGTGCGACCACATAGGGGAAACAAGAGATCGGCAGAGGCTCTGCTTTAAACTTCACATAAGGTCCCAACAATGGCTTCGTGGCAGTGGTGGCTTCATGAGAGGTAACGTAGCCACGATCGACATGCGCGGATGTGGACGGGTGTTGCTGATCTCTGAACTTAGCAATATGGCGGTTTCAAGCTATCGTGATGGCTCGCACATGGCGTTGTAGGCCTAAAGGACAATCGCATCGGCTACGAGTCAGGTTTTGCACCGGACAACGTCCGCTCCACCAGGTTGGAGCCAGCGGCTAACGTTGCCGCATCATCAGGCCCACCCCATCACGACCCTGGTTCCTACTGACTCTTGCCGTAGATGCTTTCTAGCTCAGCGCAGACCGCGTCAGTAACCTCCTTTGTCGACGCCTTGCCTCCCAGGTCGCGCGTGGCAATGCCTCGCTCCGTGATGGCTTCCACGCTTTCCATCAATCTCTTTGCCGCTTGCTCCTCGCCTAGCCATGCTAGCATCTCAGACGCTGTCCAAAAGGTTCCGACGGGGTTTGCGACACCCTTGCCGGTAATGTCGAAAGCCGAGCCATGAATCGGTTCGAACATGGACGGATGCTGGCGTGTGGGGTCCACTGGTAACACTTAGCATGGGCAATGGATGCAACCATGTGGAAATGAAGAATACGTACGGTTGCTGGTAGGGGCGATGCCAATGGAGCCTGCCAGTGCGGCTGCGAGATCGGAAAGAATATCCGCATGCTGGACGAGTCAGCTAAAGCCGAGGTGAATACTCAGTACGTTGTGTGCTACCCACCAAATTTGTTGCAACAATCGTATCCAAAGATTTCGGATCAAGTACCATCCGGCACGTCATGGCATCGACGAGCATCTTGTCGCACTTGACATCAGGAAAGTCTTTCGCAACTTCAGCGGCAATCTCATCCCACATAACCATCCCGTTGCGCTGCGCGTTGCTTTTAGTAACGACTGTGATCTGTTTCCTCGGCCTGCTTTGGGCTGTTTCGAAGGCGAAGCGTAGAAGTCGTTCCACCCCATGGCGGGTGAATATTGAGACTTCCGTAGCAGTCTCCCACTTCTGGCCTCTGTGCGACCGGCCTCCTTGGCCTGCATATTCACCTTCAGAATTCTCTCGTACAATCACCCAGTCTAGATCGCCATGCTCTGCGTTGCGCAAAGGCGATGATGTTCCCCGGAAGATCTTGGTCGGTCGCACATTGGCATATTGCTGGAAGGTCTGGCAAATCGCGAGCCGCAAGCCCCAGAGAGAAATGTGGTCAGGTACATCTGTTGGGGGTTCAGTTCAAGGTCGTGTAAGAGTCAGTATCTCATACGTACCCGGGGCACCTACAGCACCAAATAGGATCGCATCATGCTTCTTGAGCTTCTCTAACCCCTCATCAGGAATGTATTGGCCTGTCTTCTTGTACGTCTCAGAACTCCAGTCGTAGTCTTCGAATTGTAGTCCGAATGTGCCGTCAAGTTGTGCCAGCTTCTTCAATACTTGTACGCCGGCATTGATAACTTCAGGGCCAATGCCATCGGCACCCATAGTCGCAATGGAGTGCGTGCGCATGTTGGTGGCTGGTGGAATGTTGGGTTGGGAGAGGGAGTAACGGCTAATGAGTGATCGTAACGGCGGTAAGCACTTGAGTTGATATCTCTTGAAGTTCTATGCGCAGTATCTTTTAAGCCTCATAGTCCGGACTAAGAAACCCCATATTCACACTTCGTCGACGATAGGACTGTTGCCGAGCTCGCCACTGGTGCGCTGGATAAGGGTAAGTGCGGGGAACGCGGACAAACAAAGTCCGACGCTCCCAAACCATGCCACCACACCCAGCACTTCGAATTTATCCTGGCGCTTGAAACTATGTGAAATCCCAATGCTGCTCTTGATCGAACCAGAAGGGGATGTCGAAGCCAGAGAAGGGGTCTAGCCCGTTAGAATACTCAGTTGATGAAGCGTTGGCACCCTCCGTTCCAACAAAGATGTTCCAGTAGCTGTTGTGCTCAAGAAAAGGAGCATCGTGGTTCAGGTCGCCCGTCGCACTGGAATCGATTGCTGCATTATATGGTGGATACTGCGCGTCATGATGAGGATCGATGTCATTCCTCCTTTGGCTTCCGACTTGATCTGGATGGTCGTTGCGGGTCGGTAATGATTGCTCGTGCAAGCTTGAACGTACGTTCAATTCACCTTTTTGAGCAAGGGCTGCATCTCCCGCGACCTCTGAGTCGTTTCTAGAAACCATTTGAGCTGACTTCTGCAGCATTCGAGCCCGTAAGTCTCGAATGGCCGCCGAGCTTGCTTCAGGCCAAGCACTGCCGCGTAGCGTGAGGTGTTGAAGTATGTCGAGACTTTTATCTGCGAATCTTGGTTGTACATGTTAGTAGAGGTATTACAATTTGACATATTGATTACCTTATGACGATGCTGTGATCCATGCGGCCCTCGTGGGCGGCGTAGAACATGATAAATGTGCTGATCCACACGGCCCAGGTGCAGGAGGGCCAAAGGAGAGCCAATTGGTAATGATACGTTTGAGACCCGTCTTTGCCCTGGATAGCGGTGTGCAAGGTAGCGATGATGCTACGTGCAGAACTGATGCACTGTTGTAAGGCGGCATTATAAGCGACTTCTTTACTACCGGTAGCTAAGACTGGACGATACAGCGAGATTATCAACTCGTGTCTAAGTAGTGTCAACACTACAGTCGCGTAAGGAGAAGCGCCACATCGGCTATCCGGGTCGATGAAGTCCTCAACATCGTTCCACCATTGGCCAAGTTTAGCTATGATTGATGTCGCTCGGTCAGGATCATGCTGCACGTAGTGTAGCGACTTGTTGCGCAATTCGATGATTTCGCCACGCAGCCTGGCTTGCTGGGCAACCAGGTGCAGCAGGTGGAGTTCACGACCTACAAGTTGTGAGATATGGCACAAAAGAAACATGACCTCACTTACGAGGCTCGACGCGCGTCTGCAGATGGTGTTCCGCGAGGGGAAAGCAGACGTCGATATCGTCGTCAGGTAGGCCGAGTGGGAGGCCCATGGATTGGGCAAGAAGCCGATCAACAGCATAAAGTGACCAGAAGACGCGTTGCCGAAGCTCTTTAGTGCTTGATGTGAAGGTCGGAAACCTGGCTGGGCAACGATGAAGCCCTAGCTGCACAGCCATCCGCATAATCAGCCCTCCAAGACGGGAAGCGGCGTTCAAGCGAAGCATAGAGACTAAGAGGAGCTGCACACTGAGTGCGGCTTGCAGCGTGAGTATTGTCGTGGGACGAGAAAGTATCGTCCGGAGACTATCTACAGCAGCATCATACGATGGGAAGACGATACAGGCAGGATGTCGAGTGCTCGGTAGCCCTGGCGATTGTCGATGGTCTGCAAGCGAGATGGACATGATCGAACGCACTATCACCAGCTGTAGGTCTTCCGAAGCACCATGATCGGGAAAACCATTTCTTGCACAGCAATCGAAGTATTCTAGGACGGTTGTGGCGTGTACGAAGGGGTAGAACGGGTGCCAATTCGCAAAATAGCTCCCAGAAAAAGCGACCAGATCGCGAAATGTTATGTGAGAGGTCTGACCGTGTGAGATCTCAGCTTCTCGCCATAAGCGTCCGGAGGAATTCGGTTGCACTAGAGAGAGATGGTCGTCTTCGCCTGGCACGATGTCGCTGCCGGGCGTTTCGCCGTCTGTAGGCACTGCAGAGCGTCGGATCGCACCATAGACTGACCTAATGAAGAAGATGCCGCTGGCACTGCCCACGAAACCCGTGAACTTGTCACCAGGGACGCTTCGCATCAAGCCCACCTCCCGAGCAGGTTGTTCTGATGTTCGCCGTCGCTTTGCAGGCGGCTGTTCGTCCACGAAATCCTCGGATGGCGCGTCTCCATCTTGACCACGTTCCATAACCGCGATCACGCTCGGTGATGTCAGAAAGCGATATAGTGCTATATCCGATGGTTGCTGGTGCTGACCTAATGAGGTTGGTGAAAGCGCTGGATCTGTAACATCGAGGCGGAATGACGGAGGGAATCAGGCGCGCGAGCTGTCTAATACTGCGTATTTCATCACCTGTGAAGCGCATTCGGCGACACGCAAAGCGATGAAGATGTCATTGTTGGGCGGAAACGATGCGAAAGTGCAGTGGCAGCGGCATCGACGGCGACCGTGCAAACTTCGCCGAGCTCCGCAGCTGACCGGGCGTGCCTGCCCAGGTGACGCGTGCGCGCCCTCACCCGTTCCATCGCAACATCATCCATGGCAGCACCCCAACAATGTCTTCGGCAACTCTTGATGCCGCTGCCGGGCGTCAGCTACCCACCAGGGTCAGCAAGGCGTGTGAGAGGTGTCGTCGCAACAAGAGCCGAGTCAGTCACGCCCTCCCACCGCCTGTCACGCGCGCCGCCGACTGAGTATCCAAGTGCGACATATCGCGTCCTTGCGCGCTTTGCATCCGAGCAAACGTGGAATGCGTTGTGAGTAATGCCGAAATTCCACGCGCATCGAAGAGGAGACGTACCCAAGGCACTTCCCACGAAGCTTCACATGAGCAACCGCAGGCTCCAATCCAGCATCATGACGATTCGCATCAAGCAATAGACCAGGAAGGCAATAGTCGCGATGAGAGCAGACGCGCCAGTATCGCGGAAGGTGAAGCCAACTCAGCTATGGATATTGCGCACCAGATCTACCGACTGGGAAGTCAGCCAACATTGAGCCGGACTACATCAGCTATACCGGGCGGCAATGTCTATGGCAGAGTCCCAACATCTCGCTTAGATCGTACTCAGAGACGCCCTATAGCGGTAGTCCTTGGTCACCCTCTGCCGCCAGTCGACATGATGCGGGCACTCTTGGAAGAGTACTTCGACTCGGTGCATTGGTTTAGCTTGGTCATCTATGAGCCAAGATTCCGGCCAAAACTCGACTCTATCAAGGATGGCCTCGCTTATTCGTCGCAGAAGTCATTCCTCCTCCTCCTGTCCACAGTTGTGGGAATGGGAGCATGGTACAAGTCTCACAGGAAGGACGTGGATCCGGACTTTCCAGGCGAGGATTGGCACGCCTGGTCGCAGTCCCTCGTTCAAGGCGCGGGTTCCCAATTGGCTGAACTGATGGACCAGAGTACCATCTCGTCTGTTCAGACGTGTATCTTGCTCGGCTCCTACTATGTCTACCATGGGAAGCCTAATCTATCCTTTGCGTTACTAGGCGCAACCATTCGAACGGCACAAGCCATCGGCCTCCACCGCCAGCCGCTACGAGGCGATCCTCACTATGTCGAAGAGAGGAAAAGAGTCTGGTGGACTATCTACACATGGGACCGGTAATGCGCCCCTTCCTGAAGATACGAAGGACCTCAGTACAGAGTCTGAGTCTCCTCGTATACTGTAGCATCATTAGCTAACTTGACCAGGTTCGCTTCTATTACGTACGGACGACCCATCGGCATCAACGAGAAGGACTGCAATACACACCACCCGATTGACGTATGCGAGTCGCCCTACTTCAGAGGGACGAACCCCCCAGAAGCCGACTTAACAATATGTTACTCGTCCTACCAACGAGAGCTCAACAAACTCTACCTTATCGCGTCACCCATCATCGAGACCATCTTCGGGATGCGGGCGGTGGGACCCAACGAACGGCCGAGCGGACCACAATACACTGATCAGATCACGCACGTGACGGAGAAGCTTTGGGCGTGGCGCCGACATCTGCCACCTCATCTTCTACTAGACATGGCTGCTGACTGCAGTATGGATCAATCACGCACCGCACGGGTGCACCAGCTGCAAGCGTTGTCCCTCCAGCTTACATTTGACAACCTCCTCATCATCTTCAATCGCCCGTTAATCGCAAAACAAGTGGACCACCTCATCAGGACGCAACCGGAAAGCGGGCATGGTAACGCACTATCTCCGGCAAGTCTTACGAACACCGAATCCCCATTTCATGCGGTTCATGAGTCTAGCCCGCTCAACAGAAGCCACATGTCGAGCACGGAGCAATGGTGGGACGCCGCGCTGAGAACATCAAAGGTGACGGAGCTACCACGGCTTTCTCAGCTAGCCACTGATAGCCACCTGGTAGCTTTCTTGGCTATCAATCTGTTCAACTCTGCAATCGTCATGGCTGTGTTGGCGCTGTCTGACCCACTCTCGGACAGAGCACAGGAAGTGAAAAGGACAATCACACGCATCTTTCGCTTGCAAGAGCTACTCGGCAAAAAGACACAGCTCTCGATGCAGAGTAATGCGGTCCTCAAAGACGTCATCCAGATGCTGCTGCGCAGAGAAGCAGATGCCATCTTTGGCGAGAGCGATGTGACAAGATCGCACACCGGGACGGCGCAGATGTCTGTCGAAGACACCCTTCGTCTGCCGACGCAACTGCCACCGAGTGGACACAACAGACAGCAACAGAGTACAGTTGACAGCATGCAACGCGTTCACGAGAGCATGGCGTCAGTACAGAGAGGTAAGACTGATGCATCCCCAGAGCTGCGTACCAATCTAACCACATACTCTTCACAGTGTTTCCCGCCGCCCTCGATAGCGTCTCCCGTGACGACTCAGCTTATGTCCCGCAACGGGGCACGAATGACGGTGGCATGAATCACCTGCCTAGCGAACACAATGATTGGACAAATGCTAGCACCGGAGGCTTCAACCTCGAAGGCGAGCTGGACTGGATCAGCGATGAAAACGGTGTTGATGTTACTGGCAATGGCCTCTACTGGTTCTGGGATTCCGTCTGGAACGAGCCACAATTCTAGCTGTCGCATTGCAAACATCCTTCGGTGGGCACGCGTCTCAATTCGAGCAATTTCGTGATTGCGATATGTGTTCAGCTCATCATACACTAGAGTCTCGGGAGATCAGACACACGCGTGTGCTGCTCGGTGCGACCCTCTGCGAACGCCCTATCGATGCCTGGTCCATATATGAGCGACTTGATGCCGACTCTATCCGCAACATTCTGAAAAGCCTGTTCCGCATCTGAGAACGCGAACTCATGAGTAATAAGACTATCTAGTTGAACACGATTGGACTCTAGTAGCTGGATGGCAAGCTTGTAGTCTCCTGGCCCGTATCGAAAGCTTCCTTTGAGCGTAGCTTCTTTGTCGCAAATCTGGCCGATTGGAAATGCGATCTTGGGAGAGCCTAGCCCGGCTTGAACGAAGACTCCACCGCGTTTCAATGCAGCTACACCACAGTTGATGCATGGCTCTGCTCCTGTTGCATCAATCACAACATCAAACCCTGCAGCCAGCCCAGCCTTCTCCAAAACTTTGTGAGCATTCGTTTCTGGAAACCCAGCTTCCATCATGTATACATCATCGGCACCGAAGTCGGTCGCAAAGCTCAGCCTGGGGGCTACTGCGTCAATAACCACGACTTTCGCAGCGCCGAAAGCCTGTGCCACAGCGCAACACAGCAAGCCTATGGGCCCGGCCCCGAATACCGCCACAGACCTGCCCTGAAGACTTCCGGCGAGTCCGCAACAATGCACAGCTATGCTTAGCGGCTCCACCAGGGCACCTTCACGGAAGGATATGTGTGACGGCAGCTTGTAGCAGCACTCTTCGGGTAGGCAGTAGAAGGTTGATAACGTGCCGTTGTAGGGAGGGGTGGCAGCGAACTGCATCGACTCGCATAGGTTGTATCGGCCGCTGCGACATGTCTCGCAGGTGTTGCATCCTACGCCAGGTTCTAATGCGACGCGGTCACCCACCGACAACCCTGTGACGGCTGATCCACAAGCATCGACGATACCAGCAGATTCATGGCCAAGAGTGATCGGGTTCTCGACCACATATCTTCCGATTTGTCCATGTTGCCAGTAATGTACCTAGATCGCCGTCAACGTTGACGAACACACAGCAGACCACAGCGGCCGATACGTACGTCAGAACCACAAAGACCGGTAGCCACAATCCTTACGCGAACATGCCTAGGAGTTGGAAGACTCGGAACTGGTCCATCCTCGTATGAGAATTGCCTCGATGGGCTCAGGACGAAGGACGTGTTGATCGGTGCTTTGCATTGGTCCTCTGGCAGCGTCAAAGACCCGGAGGAGTTCTTCGCTTCATGAACATCAGCTGGAGAAAACATTCCTGCGAAATACAATGTACGGCAATGATTAGAATTGATGTGTCCATCTTGATGCTCTGACTATATTACCGGCCAGGCATTCTTGCCCGAGTGCGAGAGCGACTGCAGTACGGTTCCGGCGGCTCATGCAGGCTGCTGACCTTCCGATGCGCACGAGTCGGAGCCGCCAGTCCGGAGTTTTCTGCCCCAGCACCGGTTCCGCGGCTCGTGAGAAGAGCGCTTCTGATTGGCTGGCAAAGCATCCCTTAGCGCTACAGCGTTGATCAACTTCTCGAGAAACACACTAGCATATGCCGACCAAATTTCGTCGCTGCAGGGCCAACTTTAGGACCGGAACCGTAACCTGACCTGACTACACGCGATGATGCCGAATGTGCTCCACTGCGAAAATCTGGGGACGATAAAGCTGTCAGGCTTCCCCAGATTTCTCCATCATCCCACCGCATCTCCTCCGTGTGCTCCGTAACACGCACTACTTCTCTACTCATATCTTGCTCTATACTGGTTGAGAATATGGCTGCCCGTAGTAACTCAGTGGCCAGTCAGAGCGCCAACATCCAGCAACGCGCCTCGCAAATAGCTGGACAGGTCGCTGCTGAACAGGGATGGCTTGAAAGCAAGCTAAAGCCGAAGAAGATCACCGCCAGGTACCCTATCAAGGGCAAGACCTTATTGTTCGCAACATGTGGCTTGGGCAGTCTCGGCGATGCCTTGTTTGGTTACAACTCAGGTACGCTTGAGTACTTGCGTGTAGATCAACGATACTAACTCCGCTAGGTATCATGTCTGGCCTACTGGTCAATCCAGTATTCGTCAGGCGTTTCTTCAGCGAGTACGGTGGCGCAGATGGTAGCACAGCAGCCGTGAATCCATCCATCACAGGAATCTCCGTTGCCTGCCTGCAAGCCTCCGCTGCTGTGGGTGCTCTCATTGCTGGACGTCTCGGAGACATGATCGGTCGCAAGCGTACTGTCCGTCTCGGTGGTCTCATCTACTTCCTCTCGGCTTTCATCCAGATCTTCGCTCCAGGTTTCGCAACTTTCGTCGTTGGGCGCACGATTCAAGGCTTCGGAGTGGGCTTCTTGTCTATGACAGTCCCCATCATCCAAACTGAAATTGCGGCACCCCACGCTCGAGGTCTCATGGTCGGCATCGAATACACATGCCTGATTGCAGGTTACATGTTGTCGTGTTGGGTTGACTACGGCTTCCATTTCATGCTTCCAGACGCGCTATCTTGGCAGGGGCCATTCATCATCCAGATCATCCTCTCGTTCATCTTGGTGGTCATGTCATTCTTCCTCCCGGAAACTCCAAGATGGCTGGCCAACAACGGTTTCATGCAAGAAAGCCTTCAAACAGTCGCAGACCTGCACTCCAGCGGCGATACGCACGCGCCGCATGTGCAAAAAGTGTTTCTCGAGATCCAGGAGGCTGTCGTCTACGAAGCTGAGCTCGGCAAAGCTGGCTGGATGGAAATGTTCACCCGCTACCGCAACCGCACAATCGTCGGCGTCACAGTGCAAATGTTCGCTCAACTCAACGGCATAAACATCATTTCCTTTTACCTCCCCTCCACCCTCTCCAGCGCCGGTTTCTCGGACGAGAAATCGCTTCTCTACACCGCCGCGAACGCGCTCCCTTACACCGCAGCCACTGTCGCAACCTGGTGGCTAGCCGACCGCTGGGGCCGCAAGCCTCTCCTCATCCTCGGCGGTGTGCTAATGGCTGCCCTCCTGGGAATCGTATGCGCCTTCACAGAAGCTTCCATGCCCATTATGACCCGCGCAAACGGACAATTCGCTTTCATCATGCTATACAACATTGTCTACGGTTTCACCTGGGGTCCAATGCCATGGTTGTTACCTGCGGAGATCTTCCCGCTCCGCAGCCGCAGCAAGGGCATGGCGCTTGCGACGACGTCAAACTGGGTCTTCAACTTCATCATCGGCATGGTTTCGCCGGACGCTTTTGCGGGAATCGGTGGGTACTTTTACCTTGTCATCGCAGGGTTCTGTCTCTTCTCTGCAGGCCTGGCGCACTTCTACTATGTTGAGACGGCGAATCATTCGCTTGAGGAGATTGCGATCGCATTCGGGGATAGGGCTTTTGCTGATGGGGATGGTGAGGTTATGGATACTGTCAAGGCTCATGATGAGAAGATGCATAATGATAAGGTATGAGGGGCCGTGGGTTCCGAACAAATACATAGTTCAAGCCAGCTTGGCGATGTATTTCTCTAAGCTCAACCCGAGATTCACAACAAATTGCCACTGCGTGTTACCACGAAAGAACCTTGACCAAATATTCAGTACAGCCAGACCAAGCGCAAACGGCTCGCTGGGTACAGTCAAGAAACCATCAGTCTCTTCAGCATCCTCAAAGTCAATCACCGCATACGCTTCCTTGATGATACATCTCACCCAGTGAAGGATTCGATGCTCAGATCGCGACAGTGACTCCTCGCGGAATGGACGAGGGATAGAGCACAGCCATTTACCGAGGAAGATTGCGCACTCGAAGCTCGATATGGCATGCTGAACGCTCCAGAAGAACGCCTGGCTGCGCGCAACCCTGTCGATACCTAGTCGGACGGGTATACTGAGTGCATGGGTTGAGTACAGCAGAGCTGACAGTATATTGTCATTGCGCTCGATGTCTGGGAGGTTCGCTAGACCGTTGGCTATGACGTCGGTGTCGCGCGACTCTAGATGACGGTAAGGTCCTATGTCGAGGGAGAGCCGCACGTAAGCTACCACTAGTAGTGCGCTTGACGTGAAAGGGATGGGTCCGCTTTCGTTGTTGGGGTCTAGCATTGATTCTGGGGTTTGTTGCCAGAGAGATGTCCATGCGCGGAGAGCGCGGCTGATCACTTGTAGCTCTGCGCTTGAGATTGTTGCAGGAGATGTGGCGGGGAAGGAGAGCTCCCTGACTACATGAATCCGCTGAAGCAGAGCATGGAGAAGAATGTAGTTGCCGATTGGGCTCGGAATTGGGTGGACAAGTTCTGAAGAATGTTAATTCACGTTCGATAGCTCTTCCGATAGTAGCTTACCCTCATTTGTCGTTCCCTGCAAAAGTATCGACAACGCTTGCTGAAAGGGCATGTGATCCTCGCGTCCGTCGCGTTGAAGCGCAGCCCACTGTGCGGCACTACTAGCCTGCCAATCCGGTGTACAGCAAGGAAGTCGCAGATGGAGTTCGCTGCTCCATAGCAGAGGATGAATGTTGTATGCAATACTATGCACGTTGATGTAACAAAAGGCCACGAGCTTTGTACGTCTGGATGACTCGCGCTGTACCCAATTATCCCACATCGCTGCTCTAGAGGTCGATATGTTCCTGGGTGGCTCCTCTTCTTTGAGACCAATATCTCGAAGTGACTGCACTAGAAGGCCTCGAAGTGCGAACGCTTGCTGAAGTAGGTCTTTCCTTTCCCATGTCGCAAACCCCACCAGGATCAGTAGGGTTTTTGCCATGTCCAAAGGCGACCACGGTCCTGTGCGTCTGCTGGTGAAATGTGCTTCCGGTGAGCATATGTTTGTAGAAGCGATGAAAGATAGTGTTTGTGGGCCGAAATGTGCCTCTTCCTGCCGCAGACGTTCGAAGACAATGGCTTTCGATACGCGAAAGAGACGCTCGGAGCTTCTTCGCTCGAAGC